GTCATGTCTTCGTGTATTTGACCCACCTTTTGGCGTGTATACTCATCAGTATCCCGAGAACGTTGTGAATGCCGATCAAGTCGTTGCTCGTGTGCTCGGAGACGGGCGCCTTGCGCCTCCATCTCGCTTTCCAGACGTGCGAGGTGACTCTCTACACGTACCTTCTCGGTATCTCTATCATGAATAACCTGGGAGAGCTCCAACTGCGCGTGGTCCGCCGCCTTCTGAACCTCCTGCAACCTGTCAGTGAGGCGGGCGAAATCGTAAACCGTGGGAGGAGAATCCAGCTGGCCAGTCTGGGCTCGTCCGACACGCAACTCTGCCAGGGCGCCCTGTACACCAGGGAAACGCTGCTCGATGTCAGAGATCCGGTTAGCGAGTGGCTGCACGACAGCGTTGGTCGCATCAAGCCTTTGAGTGATGACTCTCTCAGTACGCTGCAACATGTCGATCAGGTTCGACGAGTTGGTGTGTGCTTCGGTGCGAAGCGTCGCCGTAGTGTGGTCTAGATAAGATCGAAGATCATTGATCTGAGACTGAACGTCGCCAAGGTCTGTGGCCTCGGCTGGGGTTGGTCGGTTGCGGAGCTGGTCGTGGATCTCATCATGTAAAATCCTGACTGCTGAAACGCCTGTGTCGCGTACGAGCACAAGCTGTTGCTCCATCTGCGCGAGGTAGTTGCGCAGGTTCTCGACCATCGCCGTTCGTTCACCTGAGTGTGACACCTCACGATCAACCTGGCACTGCAGTTCTCCTATGATACGTCGATCTTCGGCGACCCTGGAATCAATGATCCCTATGGCGCCGTCAACATCGCGTCGTAAGGCTGCAGTATCGGTGGCGTTCGTCTGAACGCTCTGTAGTAGTCCAGAGTATTGCCTGGACACGAAGGTTTCAACCTGGTCTCTGAGCTCAGCTATGTCACCTGCGGCGGACGTCTCCGCCAGCTGGTCGTCTGAGATGGAGAGGTGGGGAGCGTCAGCTTCCCTGTGTCCCCTGTCGCGGGGAGTGCATGGCCTCTGAGAGGCAGTGCGCGGGCTCGACCTACTTTCGCCGTATGGGCCTGGGGCTCCACGGCGGTTGCGCGCGGACGAGCTGCGACTCGGACCATGTGTGTGGTGTCTCATCCGATGATACCTTGGGGTGCCGCGTCTGTGGCTGTGCCGACGCTGGTCTACTGAGTTCCTCGACGGTGGCTACGCGCTCCGCCGCAGGGGCGGTCGCAGGGCTGGGGGTCCCGGCGCCTGAGGTCCATCGGCGGTTAGCGCGAAAGCGCCCTGGAGTATCGAGACCAGTAAGGCTTTCGCCTGACGCGGTTGGGATTGCTCCCGACGGGGAAGGGGAGGGAGGATCGAAGGTCGGCGTGTGAAACTCCTTCCTTCCTGTTCCTACTCCTTCTCCTGTCCCCCCGCGGGCGGCGCTGCGGTGAAGTTCAGCAGCTAGTCGCGCCTCGGGTCCTTCGGAGCTGGGGGGGGGGGGTATCAGGAACACCAACACAGTCCGCACTAATGCTCTCCAACTCGTCACCGAGCCGTCGTGCCGTGGGAGAGCTCGGACGCGAGGCCCCGATGGAACCCTTGCGGCGCATGCGCCGAAGTGGCTCCATCAGGCTCGCATGCGAGGTCACCGCGGGCGAGTCGGTGAGGGTGAGCGTTAAAGGGCTGATAACCTGTGTATGGGGTTGAAGTACAAGGGTACAGAACCCCTGATCCGTTGGTAGAGAGAAGGAGGGATAGATGGATATCTTTCCCTCCCGCACGATCAAGGTCTGATCGATCTATCTCAATACCTGAGCCTAAACGGCCAGGCGCAGGAGAGGTAAGGATAAGGAGTATATATGAGGGTATTATGCGGGTTCCATTCACACCATGCGCGCGGCGTCCCCGTGGAACTCTGCGTCGAAAAACGCATTCTGCGCGAGGGGCGGGGCCGCCGCGCGCGCGGTGCGCGCGGCGGCCTTGCGCCTCGCGCGCACTGTCTCCCCGAGCAGAATGGACCCGGGCCGCAGCGCGCGCGTGCGGCGACAGCGCCCCTTGCGCACACGGATGGGTCAGGACAGCCGTGCGCGCGACAGACTTGCCCCTCGCACGCAACCGAATTTCCAACGCGGAATGGCCCAGGTCAGCCGCGTATGCGCGGCGGCCTTGGCCCTCGCGCATACGGCGCTTTCCCAAACAGCATGGGCAAGGGCAGCAGGGCCGCCGCGCGCGGCAGCCTTGCCCCTCGCCCACCGAATGTTTTCCCACACAGGGTGGCCCAAGGCCGCCGCGCGCGCGGCGGCCTTGTCCCTCGCCCATCGAATGCCTTGCCCCTCGCTCACAGCGCGCTTTGCCGCGCAGGTTGGCGGAGGGCTGCCGCACGCGCGGCGGCATTGGCCCTCGCGCGTATCGTGGTTCCCCGTGCAGAGTTGCCAAAGGCAGCCGCGCGCGCGGCTGCCTCGCCCCTCGCGCATAGCGCAGAGTTTCCCACGCAGAGTGGCCCAGGGCTGCCGTGCGCGCTCGGTGGCCTTGCTCCTCGGGCAATTCTGTTCCGCCACACAGCATGGGCCAGGGCAGCCGCGCGCACGGCGGCAATGCCCCTCCCGCGTAGCACGTTTTCCTGCGCAGGGCTGCCCAGGGGCCGCCGCGCGCGCGCGAAGCCTTCCCACAACAAGTCAGCACCCCCAATCTTTTACAACAAACACACACAACATGTCACTGTCCAGCTTTCCTGCTAATTTTTCACCACCAACAACAGCATCACCAATGACAGCAACAACACCAACAGCAACACTACTCTTAAGACTGTTCGCTATTATCTGCTCGTGTGCCGCTCAACACGTATATCCCTAACCCTCGAGATGCGCCCTCCTCGTCCTCGATCGTACCCCCTTGCTGTATATCTCTCTCACCTGCAACGTGTCTTTCGTGGGGCCCGTAAGGCAGGGGAGGAAATGACGAATGAGAGGAAGGGGCACGGGGGAGGAAGGAAAATGGAGCACGAGAGAGAATAGCAGGAGAGGGCTAGGGGCAGAAAACACGTGGCAGAACCAAGCGGGCAGACTGGGCGGGTAGACCGTAACAGGCGGGCCCAGGCGGCCAGGTCGAGCAGGCGGGTTGCTGAAGCGTGCGTCCTGCATGAATCGCGAGGAAGTCTCAAGCGACAGCGCGATTCCCAAGTAAATCGTGAGGACATCACAGCGAGATGGTGATTCCTGAGTGTCGAGGGCGCGGCGTCTGAATACATTGCGAGGAATTCCCACGCGAGAGCCCGATTTCTACATACATTGTAAGGAAGTCCCGAGCGAGAGCCCGATTTGGGAATACACTGTGAGGATGTATCAGCCGGGAGCCGATGTTGTTGTAAAACACGGGGCCAACGGCACAGAATGGTGACACCTCGCTTTCGCGTATAGAAAACACGGTGCGATCCCCGGAGAATCACTTCAACTGAAAAAACTAAATGGTTACAGGGGAGGGGGGATCAACAATTCTTCTTTAGAACAACAGCGCCACCACCAACAGCAACAACGACAACAACAACACCACCACAAACAGCAACAACATGGTGTTGAAAGTTTCAAGCAGCGCGTTCGGGCAACAACTATATGTGATTTGATTGATCTGAGTTGTCCCCCCAGCCCTGGCTCTGAACTTTGGGGGGAAGAGCCTTTCTGTAGACGAGGCCTTGGCTCACGAATGTGCATTGCACTGTGCATCTTGGAAGTGCTGCCGATTGCAATAGGATTAAGACGATCGGTCTGAACGGAGTTGAGTTCGATGTGCATGTTGCTGCATGTTGGCCAACATTTCGAAATGCATGTTGGCTTGCGGTTCCATGCTCGTTTCGCTTTGCATGATGCATAGCGATCTGCATTTCCCACGAGACAACTACGGGACAGCCCCAGGTACAAGCCACGGGACACGCACGGGTCAACCCACGAGACAACCGCGGGACAACGCAGGACAACCATGGGACAACCATGCACTGGGCAATCACCAGACAAACACGGGGCAACACGGGGCAGCGGGGCAACCGCAGGACAACCGTGGGACAAACACGGGACAACCGTGGGACAAACCGCGCAACCAGCAGAAACACCGGGAGTTACGACTTGGGCCTGTCTGCGCAGACACGTACGTCGTCGCCCTCGCGCAGATCTCGCTCGGCCCGCGCGCAGGACACTGGCCGAGACCAAAACCGAAACCGATGTTCTGGTCAGGGCCGCTTCGTTCTTGCCCGCAACCTCCGCTGCCCTGGCTGGCCAGAGATTCCGAGCCGCACCTCCGACGTTCGCATACAGTCGGCCCTGGGCCAGAAGAGCATCCAGACCCTGCGTCGGCCAGAGCAAAGCGAACATCCAGGGGCACCCTCCCCCAGGATGCGCAGGAACACCCAACAAACACGAAGAGCACCAAGGTACCCTCCCGGAACTGACCTCGACCTTATACCTCGGTCCGACTGTATCACGACGGGCTGCTCGAAGGTGCAAGCGTAAGGCAGATTGGGACAAAGGGATACGTGAGCGCGGCGGGAAGAAAAAGCCGATGGATGGGGAGAAACCGACGAACAGAGACGCCATAGAGCAGGACACGGAGCTCCCATCGTGGATTGGCCACGGATATCAACGCCGCACTCATCAGATGAGGAATCCTCCAGGGTCTGAAGCCTCCTGGCTCGCCATAGCTCCAAGGTACATTCCCCGTGCATGCTTCGGCTTCGTGCGTGCATTTGTTTTGCAAGCTGCTCCAGAATGTACCTCGATGGAAACAACGAGCGGCATACATAGAAAAATGTGGCGGTCCGCGCGGATTTCTGGGATCTGAGCTGACACCCTTCCCTGGCGCGCGGAGCGCGCCAGGAGCGGCACCGGAGGCGCCGCCAGGGCGTTTCAGCGCAGATCCCAGAAATCCGCGCGGAGCGCCATAAGTGTATGTTTATGCAGCTCCGTCTTCTTCGATCGACTGCCCTCGCCCCCAAAAGTGCACACGCCCGAGCGATGCCAAGCTGATCACGCTCCTTCACCGACGCCCCCCCCGCAGCGGTAGGCTGAGGTCGGGCATGTCTTCCTTCAGGCGGATCTCGGAAGACAAAAAACTCATACAATTCCCAAACATAGACCAGAATAGTAGAACAACTGTCTCCATACATTCTGAACATTTCTCTAGAGGGACGACGCAGAAGGCATCTTTACACCACCACCGTGCCAGGCCAGGGCCATCCTGGCCCTACCTGTAGATGCCATCCCTGCCGAGGCCAGGAGGGCCTGTACACCATCCGGGGCCCCAGGATGGCCCTGGCCTGGCACGGTGGTGGTGTATCGATGCCTTCGTCGGAGGGACATGCCCGACTTACTTGCAGCGGTGGGCAGAGGCAGCGGCACCGCAGGACACCGGGCGCGACAGCCCAGGGCGGCAGGGGCGCGCAGGAGCGCGGCCCCTGCTTCGCGGCAGCACGCGCCGGCGAGAGGCGAAGCACGAAGACCGGCACGGCGGGCCTCGCAGGAAGCGGGCCGCTGCGGGGTCCTGCCAGGGGTGGGGCGTCCGAACGCCGCAAGCTGATGCCACGTCACACACATACATATACATGTATATGTATATATATACACATATATATAGAACATATATGTGTATGGGCGATTTCGGGGGGAACAAAAACTGAACCCAAAGACGTTCTCACCTCCTGGGGGCGCATCGTTTACTTCCGCCGCCTTCCGCCAGCCTTCCGCCGGCTTCCGCTGGCTTCCGCCCGAGGAGGCAGCATCGTTTTACTACCGCCGCCGTCCGCCGCCCTTTCGCCGCCTTCCGCCGAGGAAGAGATGGCAACTCCTAAGATCCTCGAAGGCAAAGCCTCTTTTTAAACGCCCCATATACTCAGACACCCTCCGACGTGTGTAAAATCGCTGGTTCTCAGTGGTGATTTATACACCGCCGTCCCCCCTGAGGCCCAAGAACAATCCAGCAAAGGGTGTCCGTGTATTTTACTGTGGAGGAGATACAGCCGCACGATCCGGAGAGCAGAGCAGAGCAGAGCAAGCCGAAACCAGGACGAGGATAACATCGGGCGGAGACAACAAACCGAGAATATCAGAGATCTGGCGTCTCTGGAGGATGCCTCGGGCGCCGCGGCCTTCTCAGAGCGCTCCGGAACGGATCTGTCCTCGTCCTGGCCCCGTCCGAAGGTATACCCTCCGAGCGCGAAGCCCTGATGGAGCGTGTCAGGAGGATCCCCGAACCATGCGATCTCTTCCGGGTCGTCGAGGACATGACAGGCAAGGGGTGCACGGCTTCTCCCGGGGCCATAAGCGACCCGCGGAGGAGGAGGAGGAGGAGGAGGTGGAGGAGGAAGAGGGGGAACTGGAGATGGAGGAGGAGGAGGAGGAGGAGGAGGAGGGAGGAGGAGGAGGAGGAGGAGGAGGGGAGGAGGAGGAGGAGGAGGAGGAGGAGGAGGAGTGGGAGGAGGAGGAGATGGAGGAGGAGGAGGAGGAGGAGGAGGAGGAGGAGGAGGAGGAGGAGGAGGACGGGTCGCCGACTAAACCCTTCGGAGAAACCCTCCAGCACGGGATCGGCGAGCTGGAAGGGATCAGAAGCAGCGTGAGGAATGTGCTGAGAATTGGCAGGCCTTGCGCCGTGACCCCCCCCTCCCTCCACTTTCCCGTTGCGGTAGCAGTACCGCCTCTGTAGGAGGGGGAGGAGGAGGAGGAGGAAGAGGAGGAGGAGGAGGAGGAGGAGGAGGAGGAGGAGGAACGAGGAGGGCGGGGGAGGAGGAGGAGGAGGAGGAGGAGGAGGAGGAGGAGGAGGAGGAGGAGGAAGGAGGAAGGAGGAGGAGGAAGGAGGAAGGAGGAGGAGGAGGAGGAAGGAGGAGGAAGGAGGAGGAAGGAGGAGGAGGAAAAAGGAGGAGGACGAGGACGAGGAGGAAGCAGGAGGAGGAGGAGGAGGGGGAGGAGGAGGAGGAGGAGGAGGAGGAAGAAGAAAAAACAGCATAAACATAAACGTTTGGCGGTCCGTGAGAATTTCTTGGACCTGCGCTGGACACCCCCGCCTGGCGCGCGGAGCGCGCCAGGGGCGTCGCCGGAGGCGCCACTGGGCGGCCCAGCGCGGATCCAAAAAATCCGCGCAGAGCGCCGCTCATTCGAGATATGGGTGCCTGCCCCCCACTCCACTCTGGGGCTAGTGGCCTCCTAGATGGGGTCCGAGGACATGGGAGCGGAGGATCCCACCGCATCGCGGATGCATCTGCAACGTTGGCGTAGGGAAAATCGGGCTCTGCCTCGAGCCGCATCGCCGATGCATCGGCGATGTGGCGCGATCCTCCGACCCCATCTACTTTGGGTGGCCCAAAAGGGGTCCAGCTGAAAGATGGTGGTGCAATAGATTTGGGGCAATTGTATTGCAAATGTATTGCGCCGGATGATTGTTTTGCATCGAATTGCAACTCATGTGTTGCACGCGAAAATCCAGCAATGCACCTGCGCCCCGGAATGTGTTGCACGCCCCAATTCTACTGCAACCCACAAACGCACCAGATCCATTGCACCACCCCCTTGTCGCTGGACCCCCCTTTGGGTCAACCAGATCTTCTCCAATCCCATCTGCGGTCGGACAACATTGGACAGGACACGCGAGAGGACACAAGACCCTTCCGAGGGCCACATTGCCACAGGAATGCAGGAGGCACGGGTCGCGAGACACAAAACACAAGGGCACCCTTGGTTTGGCAGGGTCGACCTACTACTCGGGGCCGACCTGTAGGCCTGGAGAGGCGGAGTCCTCGCAGCCGACCACGCGCAGCAGGTCTCCGGGGCGCCGCGCGATGCCCTCTGGCCCAGCGCCTCTCGGGCAGCGCGCTCGGCCCGATCAGGGCGGGCAGGGCCCTCCCCCGCCTGCTCCGCTTCCCCCCCCCCCCCGTCCCCAAGATTTATGTGTTCTCCCATCGTACTTGAGGACCACATCCCAGAAATAATTCCGAACACACAGAAAACAACAAAAACATCGAGTGTCTGTCCAGCACGCTGGCGAAACGCCGAACAAGCGTAGCCTCCCAGGGCCCGGCACGTGCTCGAAATCCCTTCTTGTTGTCAAAGCTACAATCGGATGGAACAGCATAAATAACCCAAGGCGACCTTCCCGGTTTGCCAAGCCAGCCAT